ACCTTAATAAAACCCTAAAAATAAATAATTACCTGAACCTAAACCCTAAAAAACCCTTAAAATACCCTAAAACACCTCAAACCTTAATATACCCTGAACCTAAAATACCTAAAATACCCTAAACCTTAACCTAACCCTAAAATACCCTAAACCCTAAAACACCTCAAACCTTAATATACCCTGAACCCTAAAATACCCTAAACCCTAAACCCCACCCAAACCTAAACCCTAAAATACCCCATACCCAAAAAAAACACCCCAAACCCTAAAAACACCCCATACCCCCAAAAACCCCTCGACTCACCTCCACAACATCAAGCGCCAAGATGTCGCCAGCCTCGAGAAGCCGGTACCCGCCCTCGTCCACCACATAGTTGAAGACACGCTCCACGCCCTCGGGATCCACATACCCGTACCGTCCGACCACTGTACCGTCTTGGCGTCTCATCTCGTGGCGGTACATGTTAGCCTGTGGTACCCCGTCCTCGTCGAAGGTGTTGCCGGTGTTGTAGCCGAACTGGTAGGTAGCTGGTGATGGGGGGGGGGGAGGGGGAGGGGGGGGGGAGAAAAGGGGGGTGTTTGGTTAGTTATTTTTGCTTTGTTTGTTGATGGTATATGGTGTAGTATGTAGATGAGTGGATAGAGAGATAGATATAGATAGAGGGAGGGAGAGGGAGGGAGGGGGAGAGAGAGAGAGAGAGAGAGAGAGAGAGAGAGAGAGAGAGAGAGAGGAGAGAGAGAGAGAGAGAGAGAGAGAGAGAGAGAGAGAGAGAGAGAGAGAGAGAGAGAGAGACAGACAGACAGAGAGAGAGAGAGGAGCGGAGAGGGAAACTAGGCTTAGAGAGATTAAAACGATATTCAGAGAGGGAGAAAGACAAGGACAAAAACAGGTGCGGTAAGAATGTGAGAGGAAGAAGGATACATGTAAAGGCTGTAGAAGGATAGGAACAAGAAATAAATAATCATGAATAAAGATGGGAAGAAAACCGAAGTAGGAGAGAAAGAAACGAGAAGAGAGGAGACGAAAGAAAATGATAAAGGGTTGAAAGAGGAAAAAAAGAGACAGGCTGCCTACGAGACTGTAATACATGAGTTATAAACTGGAGGTCATTCACACCACACAGGCTGACCATAAGGGTGAAAATGGCAGACGTTAGAAGAGTCGCTAAGAAGAACGATCAAAGATGAAAACAAAAAAACTGATGAAGTTAATGCTTTCAATTAGTTACTTTGATATCTCTCACAACAGTACCGTCTAAATTACATATATTCTCAAATAACGTTAATATTTTGATATCTCTCACAACAGTACCGTCTAAATTACATATATTCTCAAATAACGTTAATATTTTGATATCTCTTATCTCTCAGTTAACGTTGACTATTCTCGCAGTAAAATTGCATATATCGTCTAAATTACATATATTCTCAAATAAACTTTATATTAAGATTCAAATTCATCTTGCATGCTAAAATAAACCGTACGTATCATTTCTCGTGAATCATACCTTAAAATATTTGATATGAAAGTGAATATATATAACACAAAATGCAATCAACAACACAACACATGAAAATAAAGTGATTTTTTTCAAGAAATAAAATTCAACAATATAAATATGAAACGATACGTTGTATATAATACTCTTCATAATAATTAAAATTCAACAATAAAATATGAAACGAATATAATACTCTTTGTACGTTGTATATAATACTTTATATAAATAATCGCCACAGCAGGTAACACCACAGGATAAGTATCCGACACGTATTGAAGAACCGTGTTGTTTTACGGCCTTCTGGGACCTCACCCCCCCCCCCCCCTTCCCTCTTCCCTTTCCCCCTCCCCCCTCCCTCCCCCTATCCCCCCCTCACCTGTCCCTCTCCCCTCACCTGTCCCTAATCCTTTTTATTCCACCGCCCTGCCACCAGATGCCACACACCTGTCTGCTAGCATACCCTTCGTTCACTAATCCTATTGTCCCCTTCCCCCTCCTCGTTAACTCATTCTAGTGAGGTACAGGATATGCTCGTTGAGGATTACACACACACACACACACACACACACACACACACACACACACACACACACACACACACACACACACACACACACATTCGTTGGTACTGACACCTTTTTGTTGAAGGGTAGGGTATTTATATGCACGGAGGTATAGGGTGTGGTCTGGGTTTCGTGTGGTGTGTGTCGATGAGGGTGATGTATACCCACATATGTGCTTTATAACTATCACTGAACTTGAATTATATATCTCTGTATGTAGTTAAGCCTTGTTAAAAATACTATAGCTACTGGTAGTTCATATCAAGGTGTTTAAATAGTGTTATTAGCTTGTATTACTAATCCTTAATTCTTTTTCTTCTTGTAATAACACTTCTTTCCTATAAAAACAAATCTACTGCAACAAATATACGTGATTTTAAATCGCTACTAGTCACAACCCTGGCATCCTACAATAAAGAATAACTATCCAACTGTTTACAACTCCTACAAAATAGAATAAAACAAACAAAATCAAATCAAACAAACAAACAGATACAACTACAGTATCTACAACGAAAAAATAACACCCCCTCATCCCAATTACCTCCTATTCACATCACAACCCCGGTCCCTCTCCAAATAAACTTCCCTGCCTACGCTCTACAACACAACCACCTAACACTATTCTACACAACACACACACAACTCCACACACACCAGAACACACACACCACACAACCACACACACACACACACACACACACACACACACACACACAAAAAATCTCCCACTGCCACCTAACACTACCACCAACAAGAACTCTACACACACACACACACCAAAAACCGCCCCACTGCCTCACCTCCTTCGAAGTCCCTCGTCAGATAGCGGAAGTTGCTGTCCTCTGGGATCTCGATGGGTACAAAAGGCCGCTGCTGCTCCTCGTTGATGATCGCCAGGGACTGTTGGGGGTCGTTCTCCACCACCACGAACAGAGGCTCGTCCGCGACAGGTGCTCCCCACGCCGCGCCGACCAAGGCCCCCAGGACAACCTGTTCGAGGGGGCGGTGGAGAGGGAGGAGGTGGGTGATAGGGGGAGGTGGGAGGGGGTTGGGAGGGGGGGAGGGTAGGAGGGTGGTGAGGGGGGGTGTGGAGGAGGGAAAGGGAGGAGATGGAGGGAGGGGGGGGGGGGAAGAAGGGTGGAGGGAGGAGAGGTGGAGGGGAGGGGGTGAGGGGGGGGGTGAGAAGGAGAAGGGTTCGGGGAGGGAGAGGGAAAGTAGGAGGAGACGAGGAGAGGTTGGAGTAGGGATAGGAGAGAGAGAGAGAGATGAAAAAAAATGGTTAGTTGTTTACTTTGATTTCCATTACAGAAAAAATGTCAATTGTGTGTCGCGTATTTTACATAATGAATATAAAAAAAACATAAAAAGACATTGACTTTCGAGGGCACAGATGCAGCTTATTTTCATATAATGGGAGATAAAAAAAATAAAAAAAAAACTACAACTGATCAAAATGAATGTTTTAAGGCGAATAAAAACAGACAAAAACGCAAACATTCTTCCAAGCAGAAAGAGTAAGTGAATTCCTCATCGTTAACATTCTTCACTTCCTGGTCCAAAAGGGGGTTTAAAAGGAAGGCGCGATAGGCCTATCTGGAGGACATGACACCGGGTCCGAAAACTTCAAAGCAAAAATCTTTCTCTTCACTTGGACTGGAATAAAACTCCCGTACGATAGAACACATAACCCCACTAATTACACACTATATCTATGAATCACATAATAACAATAACACAAAAAAAATAAGCAAAAAATAACGATTTAACTCACAAAAATCCACTTCATTTTGGCTGTGACGACTGGACTGAGATCGCTTGATGTTGTGTGCAGGTGGAGTCGTCGTCCGACTATTTATATGAGGTCCCGCCGGCGCAGTTGCCAGAGGTCTTCGGATCCCACGTCCTCCAGGGTTTTATCCTTCGCGAATCCCTCGTCAGCCTAACTAGCGAATCCCAAAAAAAGGAAAATAACCAACAAACAACGATATTACAACAACGAAAAATAAACTATCTCCTCGAATCCTACAACAGACACCGAAAACAGATCAAAAAATGAAGAAAAAAAATCTTCACTCAGGATAGGCAACTGTCCCTTCACCTTCTCCCTCCCTCCTCCACCCTCCTTCCCCACCTCCTTCCCCTCCATTCTCCCTCCCTCCCCCACCTCCTTCCCCCTCCTTTCCCCCTCCTCCTCAGTAACCACATCCCCTCCAACTTGCCTGGGGCGGTGGTTGTGGTCGCTTCACCTCCTAATGATAAATCAGCTGACACGATCCACCAGGTAACGCCCGATTCTGGACCTTCCTGTATTGATCCGGAGAAAGAGCCACAGGTGTTTGTTTTGGTCGTCGGAAGGTGGGAAAAAATGAATGAACAGAAAAAAATGAGAAAAATGAATGAAGAAAAATGAGAAAAAATAATGAATCAGAAAAAAATGAGAAAAAATGAATGAACAAAAAATGAGAAAAAATAAGAATGAGAAAAAAATGAATGAAAAAAAATTGAGAAAAAATGAATGAATGAAAAAGAATGAATGAATGAAGAAAAAAATGAATGAATGAAAAGAGAAAAATGATGAGAAAAATGATGAAAAAGAAAAATTAATGAAGAAAAAATGAGAAAAAGAATGAACAAAAAAATGAGAAAAAATAAAAAGAAAAAAAAATTAGAAAAAAGGAATGAACAAAAAAAGGAGAAAAAAATGAAGAAAGAAGGATGAAAATTAGTGTAGAAAAGATGTATACACAGACGTACGTTTACATATATGTGCGTTTGAAAAGAAATATACATACATACATAAGCGTATGTGAATATATATGAATATATGTAAGTATATATATATATATATATATATATATATATATATATATATATATATATATATATATATATATTATATATATATATATATATATATATATATATATATATATATATATATATATATATATATATATACATACATACACACACACACACACACACACACACACACACACACACACACACACACACACACACACACACACATATATATATATATAATATATATATATATATATATATATATATATATATATATATACACAGTAAGAAGGATGATTCATACATCTACTCTAGTGTGGCTCAGATTTCTATGATTTGGATCACTATCTATCGGATGCGTTGAATGTACTTGGTGCCAGTGTTAGAAAATTAACCGGTTAAAATTCCTTTTAAATCCAGCGATCTATATATCTATTTATTTATGGAAAAGGATTATAGATAGTTGTCAGTTGGCATTTAGGGCTAGTTTGTCTTGACTGATTAGCTTTCATTCAATATGAGGGTTGAGGGTTAAAATGACAAAATTTATGAATCGTCTCTTAATTATATGTACTCCAAATATATCATTAACATAGTTGAAATCAAACTCTGGCAAACTTTAATGACTGATTTCACTTTCCAGAGGTCGGAAGACAGCAACAGCACCCTCGGCAGCCCCACTGCCAGTGATGGCAGTAATAGTAGTTTTGTCAGTGCTCGTCAAGTATCTCTGAAGAGCCGCAGTGTTAGCCGTCTGGCATACAGGTAGATGCTTGAGAATAAAAGAAAGTTTTCTATGTAATATGTATACTATTAGAAACAAGAAAAAGTAGTAATAGTTGTTCTTTGAAGGTTTGTGTTTGATATGCATGTACTGATATTTATACAGCACTGATTCTATGGGTACTAAAAATTTGTCTTAATGTATTAAAGATAATAGATATTTTTTTTCCATTTTTGCCGGAGTTTTTACACAGTTTATTTTATTCAAGTCTCATATATGTTCAATTTTGTTTTCTAAATGTCTTATGCTTCCCCAGCAGAACTCAGGGAGGCACACCCCAGACACCTGTGAATGTGACACATGGCTCATTCATAAGTCCATCTCTGAGAGAGAGGAAGAACAGCATTGCCAACCCAGCCACTTCTCTCACCCCAACGATCAACAAGGCACTTGCAAGTACACAGGGTAAGGTTTCAAGAATGGGGAGAGAAACCCAGTGTCACTTGTCACCATTGCTTTTTTAAAGGTCCTGTGCGATGATGACATGATTATTGGTATATTTTTCTTATTGTACTTAGTTCCATTATGTACACATATTTTGATTTTTACAATGAGATGAATGGTACATGAAATCGGATGTTGTTATGTCTTGGTCACATTTCAGTTAACTGAGCATCAGAATACTAGCAGTTTAGTTAACCTCAAGAGACAGTTTCACTTTACAAGTGACTGTACACCAAAGAAGGAATCTGATGCTACAAATGGGAAACCAGCTAGAGCAGATCAGGATTCTGTCTTAACCCTTTCACCTTCAAGAGGCCAGCAGATAGAAGGGGGAGAGGGTGATGTCTCCAGTGATTTTGACCTATCAGCATCAAGTGACCTTGGCCACGAGAGTGGTATTCACCCTTTGCCTATTTGTCCGTCCAGGGAAAATAGCCTTGATGACATTAAAGAAGAGATGTCCAGTGATATCAAGTCCTCAGACCTCTCCAGCATCAGTACAAGCTCACCCAAACAATCAGCTGAAAATAGAGGGGAACCCAGGTTCATGGCGGTGCCTCACTCACCAGTCACGCCCACTGGGAACCAGGAGATGCACATAAAAGAGGATTTGGACTCCAAAATGTTTGTAAGTCCCAATGAAAATGTACAGGCAGAGATGAATTCTGAGATCAGTACTTGCAAGCAGGTCAATTCTGTAAAAGAAGCACATAGTGTGCATAATGAGTTGTTTAAAATGAGGAGGAGAGACACTGTGGAGAATTCAGCTACCAGTGGAAGTGAAGATATGCTTGGCCAGTCTTGAGAAAACGTATTCGCACATCTACTGAATGTAGTGATGTTGTCATTGATGACCAATCTGCTGAGGAATCTGATGCTGAAGATGTCTTTGAAGGCCTTGAGACTCAATCAGTTATGACACAAAAGGAGAGTGAAATACCAAACAAATTCCATCCAAGGCTGCAGGCACTATCTCAGCTCACCAATCATATGTCTCCAGTGGGCAATCCAAGCATGATTGCAATTACTGGAGGACACTTTGCAACAGACATTGCCACAAGTTCTCCCATTCCTCCAAAGGTTAGTGGGAAATGTCAAGAATTGCAGGAATGTACGATACCTGCGCCTGAACCTAGGAGGTCTTCCACTGATAGTGATGAAGGTTCAAACAGTGTTACAGGTAATTCCTGTGGTGTATCTAAGATTGGAGACTTTCCTCCCTGTTTACAAGGTGATTCTAGTGCCTTTGGTCCAAAGGAAAGCACACGACTAGAAGATTGCAGCAGCCTGAAAGAGGAAACACACTTTTCGAGCATCAACTCAAATGGTGGTAATTTTAAGGTCCCATCACAAGCCAGAGGCATCAAACGACCCTTGGGTTTCAGCAGCGGAAGTCCTCCATCAGCTTCAGGGAAAGTTGCACAGAGTACAGGATTAACAGGAACTTTTGGTGTCTTGCAAGTGACCAGTCAAACACCAAAGAGAAGAGACATGAAGAAGAGTCCCTGGACTGAGTTTACAGATAAGGGTCTTCAGAAACAAGAGAGTGAAAGTAGAATATTGTTCAATTGTGGTGAAAGGTATGTTATTTTAAAACTAGTATGATAAGTCAAGATATATATGCTATGTGCTAAGAAGGAAAATTGTTTTGTAATTTGTTTTATGGATTTTTTCTTTTACTATTTTCAGCAAACAGAAAATGGATATTGGAAACATCAGCCAGTCAAACACAAGCAAGGGTAATAAGATGCTTGTAAAAGAAGAAAAGGCTGACAAGAATACTAAGGTAAGTTTCTGCCATAAGAAATTCCAGTTCAAAAGTGATTTTAGGTAGAAACCCTGATTTCCACCTTTTAAATTTTCAAATGCCATTTAGGAATTTTGAGTTTTTTTTTACATTTGTTTAACACTCCATATTTGTCAGTTCTTATTGTCCTGGTGACAGCATTGTTGTGAGGATTCAGATTTTTGGCAGTAAATTTATCAATTTCTCAATATTGTTAAGACTGAGTGTTGCTGGTAACACCAAAAGTGTGTTCATTATTTTGTTAGTATAATTATTATTTTTATTTTTGTTATTATGTTATGTTATTTATTTATTTATTTATTTATCATTATTTTCTTCCTCTTTAGTAGTAGGAAAAGTAGAGACTCATTTGCAGCCATTTTTAGCCTGACGAGTTAGATTTCTAAGAGTTAGCAGTGGTTAAAAATCAGTGTATAATAGGACAAATGATAGATACCATTTTAGTAGAATTTAAAGATGAAGAGAGAAAAATCTTTCAAAAAATTATGAATTTTGCATTGTCTGCGAGTTTCACACAGAAAAGAACATGATCATATTCCAGTTAGTGAGATGGTATAGCGAGAGTGACATGAACTGTGAAATAGGAGAGAAGGACAGTCTCCTCCAAGATAATGGCCCGGTCACACCCGAAAGCATTTCTTCCATCAAGCAGCAAAAGCAACATTTCCAAAGCTATCACACTCCAGCCAGGATGCATGTAAGTGTTGCTCAGCGTGTGCTTTTGAGGAGAGAGAACATTTTTCATTTTGGCTTCTGTATTGGTATACCTTTTGATATTACACAGTTTTAGTGATACGGAGAGTCCCATTATCTGCTGAATTATGTTTTCCTCATCATCTACCTGCTTATCTGTTAACTTTATATCTGCCTTTCTTCTCTCTTATTTTCCCTTTTATCTTCATGATGTTATCTTATTCTTATTTTTTAATTTAATTGTCTTTGTTTTTATCACTCATCCCTTTTTTTATGATTTATTATTCCTTATCTTCACCTCTTCCTACTCTTTCTTTCTCCTAACTCCTCCCAATGCACCACCCTTGCTTCCCCATATCTGTCTTTTTTTTTTTTTTTTTTCCTCCTTCCTCCTCCTCTCCTCCTTCCTCCATCCCTCCCTTTCCACTCCATTTTCCTTGTATTTTGATAGTCATCTTCATCACGCTCCACATGCTATACTCATGAATAGTTTTTCACATTTCCCTCCCAATTACCTCTCATTATTCCTCCCAGAGTGTCCCAGGAACACCAGTCCAGGGCATGGGACAGACCCCACTCCGAGCCCCCAAGAGCGTTCGTAGAGGAACCCAGCCCCCCATTGCCTCAGAATCACGCATCCTGGGTACACCCGACTACCTGGCCCCAGAACTCTTGCTGAGGCTTGGCCACGGTAAGGCAGTGTAGCTCCTAAGCAGCTTGAAGAAGTTGATGTGTCCATATAGTGCAATATGATATATAGAGGCAGTGCAGCAAAATGTTGGATTTAATGTTGGATTTTAGAATATACAATAAATAAGTCAATTATAAGTGATTATCCCCATTGTCATTTACAAAAACTGTGTATATATGTAGAAGTCCTATCTTTTGCAAGATTTGGCTGTAGTCATAATTTGGTGCTTTACAACCTTTTTCATATGATATATATTTAACTTCAAGGGCCGGCAGTGGACTGGTGGGCTTTAGGGGTGTGTCTGTTTGAGTTCATGACTGGCATTCCTCCTTTCAACGATGAATCTCCCGAGGCTGTGTTTCATAACATACTTCAGCGTGGTACGTACCTTCTGATTTTAGATTGTTCCAGCTTTATTAGATATTGTGTAATTATTATTATTATTATTGGGTTTTATTAATTATCTGTGTGTGTGTGTGTGTGTGTGTTGTTTTGTGTTTTAGAAAAGAAAAAAATTAGATATATTATATTCTCATTTTAGATATTCCTTGGCCTGAAGACGAAGAATCTTTATCACCTTTTGCTGTAGAGATGATTGACAAGCTCTTGGCATATGACCCCAAAGTAAGAGCAGACTTTGAATACTTGAGGTCAAACCCAATGTATGCTGGGGTTAACTGGTCAGATTTGCGTAACATGGATGCTCCG